AAAAAAAAACAAATCGCCAGCTGATATTTCCCGACAAAAGAATACAATCAAGCAAAATCATCATGCAAAACTAGCTAGGGTTTGTTTTACTTCTTATTTCGCAAATTTGCTTTCGAGTGTTATGACGTCATCACTGCGTCTCCCGCAAAGTTTACATTCTACTAACACATACATACGTCAGGGCTAGATCTCCACACCTTGTATATACCAGGTTGGTACACGGAGATGAAAAACTACCCAAAATTAAGTACTTTTCCTTCAATTCCCGGCTTCAGCCCTATAAACTAAATTTGAGTAAATCACATACAGTAGTTCTCATTTAACACCAGCAAAACAAAATACATACTCTTAAGTATATTCTATCCTAATATAAGTTCAATGTACGTAAATTTGAGAATATGCAGTTTACTCAAAAGTAACTCATTGTGCTGAACTATATCGTTGGGTCACTTCTCTCGTTTCTTCTTTTTAACAACAATAACAAGTGCAAGTGAGAGAATTAAGTAAAAAGAACTCACATTTTGGGTAGTATTTTTTCTCTGTGTAGGAAACAATTCAAACGCAATGCACTGAGCTAAATAGTCGTATTATTGTTAGCGCGTACTTTATTTTGTCCAGGCAAAAAAGGCGAATAGCGTGTAATATCTGTTAAATATACTAAAAATAGCACAATTTTCTCACAAATTTCAAATGCAAATACTTTGTGTTGAAAAATATACTGCAATTTGAACATTATGACAATGGGTGCGTACTTTATTCTATCCAGTACTGTATATCTTGATCCAGTTAACAGGTAGCTTCTTGCTTTTTCCTTCAGAAAAGAATAATCTGAATAAAATTTCCACGACTGCACTGTAGGAAATGACGAAATGAGAACAATTTTGCCAAAAGTCTGACCTTTTGATTTTAACCTTAAAATGTTATCAGAAGATTTTCGTTTATGAACATCCTCCACAATTTGAACGTAACAAAATTAATCATGTCTTCCCTAATAAAATTTTGATGGAAATTTTGCTTTACGACGCGTTCGGGGTATCATCCAAACTATTTTTGGAATAGTTCTATTATTTGGGTTATCGTTCGTTTATGGTAATTTTTGTTAGGGTTATTATCATAAAAATAAAAAAAAAATCCCTTATTAACCTTTTTCAGTTATTCTACTAAAACGCTCATCAATCAATTTAGATTACTTTTTTTGTTGAGATAGAGGAATTATATCTTCAGCAAAGTTGTAGAAAATGTCTAAAAAAGCAAGTTGGCTGAAAAAGCAAAATTCTTTGTTCAGTATTTTCAGAGTTGTGGAGTATTTTTTATGGTTACTCCCTTAAATTTATTTTTTCGGTCATATCTTTTTAGCGATTTATTTTTTTAGCACATAATGTTCTAGACGATTATAACAACTGCAAAAAGTGAAGTAAGTCGCTATAATGTTTCAATGATAAGTTATAGCACATTTTTCATATATTTTTTTTAACATCATGCACTTATAGGAGAGAATGGCCTCGTGAAGACAGAAAAACTACCCATCAGCTTGAAGCTTAGGTCATAAACTGTAAAGTTATTTAGGTTTGATCTGTCGTCTTCCAACCATATTTCGAAGGAAAGCCTTTTTTGCCAGCTTTTCACTAGCAAAAAAAAATATCCATTTGCGTTGTCCAGATGCCGTATTGTTTTTATCAATTTCATTTAATTGGAAAGCTCAAACGCGTTAGCTTTACCGATCCGATAATTCATTGTTCATTGTGTGTAACAAAATTCACTTATTTCTATGTTTAGTAGGAGTTGAACCGAATATTCGCGGCTAACCTGAGGTTAGAGGGGTACACAGTCGAAGTATAGATTCAGAGGAAGAGCTTGGGAGTGGGGTTTTGTTGTATCATTAGAGCGTTGTCGTCAATGACGCATTCAAGCTGATATGTAGTATTACCAACTGGTGGAAACTAACGATTTTAAATTGGCTCACTACTTGAATAGCCTATTGGACCCAAGTACATCTGTAAGCGTACCCCATTCTATTCGAAGTTCTAAAACTACACTATGTTTGTTTTGTTTCGCTATGAAAGTTTGACCGATAAAATAAGGGGTTCGTGGAATTTCCTTTGTTTCGAGGGGTGCATCAATTAGCTTGGGACCAAAAATAAGTACGCCTCTAAATGAGCTCAAGTTTTGGGAGAATTACCAGGACCTTTGATTTGAAATCAATTAATATTGGTGGAGCGAAATTGATTGTTTGAACCACACTGATAGGTGTACGGACATAATTATTCAGTCCTCATCATGCTCTCTTGCCGTGCCGACCAATTTGCTCTTTGATGAAGGAAGTGTTACTACTATCTAAAGCTACAACGAATTTAAACAGCAATCCTCTGTGCTACATATTACCTGTAAAATTTCTACTTTTTTCGATTCGTATTCCTCTTCGATCCTTGTTTGGACCCTACCCGAGATAATCCTGCTTGGACATCGATTTAGAAAATTCTTTTTCGTTCCTTCGGGTTCTGCTGGTTCACAGAAATCTTAGCATTCATCGACATTTCTCAAATAAGAAGAAGCAACATTCGCAGCTCTCAAACATAAACACAACATGAAACAAATCACACAATCGATTAATAGCTATCATTCCTCCAAGCCTCGGTAGAAGACGGATCGAACTGCTTGATGCATTCGACCCGATCCGTCGGATTATCAATTGTATCACTCAAGCTATTCTGGAAATTATTGTGGAGACGGGTACCCTCATGAAATGAAGTAGTGTAGTAGTCCATACCCAAGTATCAATTTTGGTTTTATAAGGTTTCTGGAGACCATGATTTAGACTTGTAGCATGTTTTAAAACCTTGATAAAACTTCCAATGTTACTTGGGTATGTTGGTTGGAGGATCTTCTTGTGCCGATGCGTTGAAATGCAGTTTTCATTTACCTTTCTATTTAAATAGCTTCAGATTTCTTCAATTTCTCTTGCCAACTTCCATCTGACTTGTTGTTTTAAATGTTGTCTTGAATGTTTTATGTGTCGTCATGCGAACAAGGTCTCCAACTCGGGCTTCAAGGAACGATTTTGGTTCAGTGTTCGAAAATCCCAAAAGCAGCTGTCAGTGACGATTGTCAATTTCGGTTGTCAACTCTGACGCGAAATGCTAATTTTTCTCTGAACTGGCAATAGTAATCTGCTTGGAAGTCGATTTGGAGAAAAAATTTCTACCGCCATGGTGCCTAAACGCAAAAGAAAACGAAATCTCTTGATTCCCCTTCTGTTTAAATCATTCAGGCAAAACTTCATTGAACAATCTCAGTTTACTTCCAAGAAGGAAAAGGTTATTGTTATAACCACTTCCGATTTTCATTCTCTTCGCACGGAACTTTTGAACTTCGTTAAATTGAAGTTGGGTAAATGCCGTGTATTGGCTGAAACCTTGGACGGATTCAAACGTCTTCTCAAGTATGTACTGAGAAGCAACACAATTTTCTTTACATACGACAGCAAAACTGAACGTGTGTTCAAGGTTGTCTTGAAAGGTCTGCCCAGTGGTGAATCCCTAGATCAGATTAAAGATGAATTGAAAAAAAGCCAGTTAAGCCAGACAAAATAATCAAAATGAAAATGAAATCCCGTTCTGGCGATTTTCGCATTGGGATTTCTAATGATTTGTATTTAGTTCACTTCAATTCTAGTGTACTAAATAACTTTAAGGCCTTAGAAAAAGCTAGCCTTATGCTGCATGTCCAAGTGAAGTGGGAACACTTCAGGAAGACTGGAAGAAATTTTCCAAAACCTCAGCCAGTGCCACAATAAAAAAATGGTACATGCCAGCTAAATGCATGAAATACGTGTTGTCATTCATGATGAATTGACGTTTAAAGTCATTGTTTACGTTTCGAGATAGACCCTTCTGACTTTTTTAAACTGATTTATTGTTTCAAGTTTTTAAAGCTTCAGTGTTCCATGCACGGAAAAACAAAACCATCCATCGATTAATTTCTTGAAACTTATTATTTAGTATGTGTTTGATGTCTGTGAGCTGGGCCTCCCTCCATATTGAGGACCCTGGCTTAAGCCCATCTAAGCATACTTTCTCATATGCATGTATCCTGCTCATCACATTGTTTCTTAGGCTGTGTTTCATTTGGTGAATTTTCTCTGAAATTTGATACTTAGAAAATAAATTTAAATGTTCGAAAATCCCATTGTTTTTGATCGGCAGATTTTAGAGAACGTGTCTCTCAAAATGTTGCTATTATAGCAGGTTTATTTGAAAATTTCCATGTGTCCAATATAAGTGTATATTCACTAAATGGAGCACTTTAGTGAATTATCACTTACATTGGACACATGGAAATGTTCAAATAAACCTGCTAGAATAGCAAACTTATTTCTGACAGACAAGGAACCAGTTTTGAGAGACACGTTCTCTAAAATCTGCCGGTCAACGACAATGGGATTTTCGAACATTTAAATTTATTTTCGTAGTATCAAATTTAAAAGAAAATTCACCAAATGAAACACATCCTATCTTAGTATCTTCTAAAACTAATATTTTTTCAATGTAATGAACAAACTACCATAAGCCGTGTTTTTTAACAGTGCGAAGGAGTATGGTACATATAGGTACATATAAGAGAATCCTGCAGAGAAACAAGGATCCTACCGAATGCTTCAACTTGTGTGGCACCAACGTTACGAAAATCACATCGTTCGTTCATTTAAATGTAGTACTCATGGTACCGTATGTAGTAGAGGCAACCGTGCTTGTGCTGGAACTAAAACCCTCATGCTGAGAGTCCTTATCGGTGTGCTGTCTTTCATGAAGTGCTGAAACCACCGTGGCCATTCCCTCCGAGAGTTTAACTACTGTTATGTTGCCGTGACGTAAGTTTTTCGTTTAAACTCATCAACATTGCACGATAAAAGCATGTTTCCACAAGAGCTACTATAACGTCTGCTCTTGTGTGTAGCTGGCTCTAGATACATGCAATGGAAGCTTTGCGGAAAATCTTCTTACCTTGATGATAGCATCGCCAACAAACAGCTGACCTGTTGCATCGGCAGCTTGGTCCTTGTAGATCCTGGATATCAGTATCGGAAGTTTGTGCTCGGCACCGCCCTTTATGCTTAAACCTAGACCACCGACCTTTTGCCGGGTGATTTGTACCATGCGTTCCTGTAAAATAAAGAAAATTGAAAATTTAGCTTATCCACCTGTTTGACTACTTGACAGAAAGAACCACTGCAGCATTCCACCGTGACATGCCTCGGCTAATTAGCACATTGTCGGCGAAGGTCTGTGGGCTGCCCTCCAATGACAGCTTTACCAGTTTTCCCACATAGAAGCACGCGCTCTCATAATCAGCAAACAAATTCGCACGCATAAATTATTACCCATATGTTAATGGTTCCACATCCATACATTTCCTTCGCCACCCTTCGTCCGTCTGCAAAACCAGGTGCGAAGGGGGACACCCGGCCCAAGACAACTAATTTGCATACCACTCTGTGTTCACGTGTGGGATGCCATCGAGTTACCTAGTTAATGCGCTCGGATAAAAATGAGTGTGAAAACTGTTGCAACCAACTCGCTTGTCAAAGTACATTTTTTCCATCCCAAAGCATGCATGTATCCATTTCAAAAATAAGTTGCTCAAAGGTTCGCAGCCTGATGTCAACTGCATGAATTGATTTATTAGACCCTCTGCAAATATGCCAACAACGGCAATAGATCATGAATGCGTTAACGCCAACGACGACGATGTGTGATCAAACCCGTTTCGAACGCGGTTTGAGGTGGGTTTATTCTGCGATTAAAATAACCACTCCCGTCCGGTACCCAGGAGATTAAGCTGAAGCTACTCCCATAATCAGGCAAATTATTTGCGACGACCTCTGCGGATGCGTTCCACCACAATCGCATGCCCTTCTTCTTGTTGGGTTGACACGTTCCAGCTAAAGCTGATGTCCACTCTCAACTTCATGTTCTTTGAGACACTTCCACATTTTTTAATTGATAGTTGCCATTTTCTGATGTTGTAAATGGACTGGCCTGGAATTCGAACTCACCATCACCGGAATGGTCTGCATTATTTCCACCCTCTTAACACATTCGACTAGTTTGAGGCCCCAATCTCAAGCCTAGGCATGGCTTTATGGCAAACGGCCGGTTGTTTGTCGATGGTTAATGACACTTTGAGGTACTGTTTGCTTTTGGGATTGGTTGTGGTGTGAATGGAGATTACCGTATGTAATTAACAAATGTTGTGTTTATTTCACATCAACACAGGCAATTACAAAGGAACATTAAATTGGGTCTGGTGCGGTACTGTTCATATTCAAATTTCGAGCAGCAAAATTTCATTGCGTGTTACTGTTCATATTCTGATAATTACTTAAACAAATTTGTTTGCTGTGCCGCTTTCTAATCTCTATATTCTATTTATTTTTACCGAATTTGTGTTAGCTTCCAAAAAAGGTTTGGAACTCAGCTCTTATTTTTAAAATTTCGTGTTCCTCAGGTCAGAGAATCGCGTTTTAATTGGTTTTGCAAATCCCACCAAATAACTTTCATGCTACGATCACGAGGTCTTTGATAATATTGCCTACGGACATTTTTCAGATGGATCAAGAGGCAGCTTTTTCTTCAACTATAGAAGTAGAAGAGACTCTAGAGCATTATTAACATAATCTGGTTTGTAAAGGAATATTTGGATCAAAGTTATATTCCATAAATGTTCGATATTGCTTCCAATCAGCTCTATGGTAATTGAAAGTAGAGCTGTTGGGATTAGACATTATTTCTTGGGTTATTTCAAATGTTACTGGAAGATGATTAGAACCGAAACCAGCATGAGTAACTAATTGGCTACAAAGTTGACATGTATCAGTTAAGACCAAATCAATAGTTGAGGGATTTCTTACTGAAGAAAAGCATGTTGGGCGTTTGGATATTGAATAGTGTAATAACCTGCAGAACAATCATCAAACAGAATATTACCATTTGAATTGCTTTGGGGATTATTCCATGAGCGGTGATTTGCGCCTTAAAATCAACAATAATGAAGAATTTTGACCTATGACGGGTAAGTTTCTGAAGGTCTCCCTAAAGACACGTCCTCCGCTGGCGTACGCATTGAATTGGCGAATAACCAGCTATAAACGTAAGTTGTCCTAATTTTGTTTCGACAGATACACCCAAAGTTTCAAAAACTTTGGTTTCAAATGAAGAAATAATTGATGTTTGATACGTTTATAAACAATGATGGAAACATCACCGCCAGCTCCATCAAGCCGATCATTTTTATAAATTAAATATTTTTCGTCCCTTTTAACCTTATGGCCAGCTTTAAGGAACGTTTCAGTTATAGCGGGGATATGCACGTTATGAACTCTCAGAAAAAAAAGTTCATCTTCATGATCTCTAAGAGATCGTTTATTGCAATTGGGAGACGAACCAGCCCAGGGCTAAAAGTCTACTTAATAAAGATATATAAAAAAAATATATTGCAATTCAAAATATTTAATGATTTAAATCCATTACTGAATTGAAAAATCATGACTACATTATTAGAAAATTTAACTACAGTTTGAAAAGCATCAAACATGGAGTTAGTTTTCAGCATATCAGTAATCATGTCATGTAAACATTCCATTTAACAAGTGTTTATAACAGAACAAAAACGTTCGCAGAGAAATGTCACCTTAGGTGAATGAATGCTTACAACCTGCAGAAATTGACACACACTTTATTTCACACCAACATGTCCAGTCTCTAGTCGCTATATTCATAGTCTGGTGGATAGAATCTCGGGAACCAATTGAGCTGTCAAATAGCGGAACTAATCAAGCAAATCACGACCAACAACAGAAAAGAGCACATCAGATATTGTAAACAAAATTTCGGAAACTGTTTTCTTGTAACTCAAGGCTCGCCTACACAAACCGATGAAATCTTTAGGTTGTAGAAAGTTTCCCCTAACCGATGATGCTGGTAATTTATCTTCGATTGGCGATTAAAGAATAATCAACGTTTTATTTATAAAAGTTGATAGTACCTTTTCAATTGTTGGTCTATAATATATTGAAATGGTTCCGTTTTATCGTAATTCTATCCGCCAGACTATGAATATAGTTCAGTCGTGTTTAGTATGCCGTCTAAACAGGAAGAACTGTGCGCGCACATTGTGGAATCCAAGAGCAAATTTTCATAACGTCGAAAGTAACAAAGGTAAACAAAGTCGAGCTATCAGTGTCAATCGATGCTCCTGCTATATCTTACTAACTTAAAGATCCTGCGCACCTCCAGGGGTGCAAAGGACCTTTGTGAAAGATTTCCATTCTAGGCTATACTATAATGTTTTGAGCCAAATGAACTGACAAAATCTGAGGCAATCGGACATACCGAACACTCGGATTTATCCGAATATTTCTTATTCTTACTAGAATAAATTTTAGAGTATTGCAATCGAACAGAAATTCAATCACCTTTATGTTTCGTGTGCTTCTCAAATTTAACTAGTTTTTGGAACCAAAAACAATATTCTGACTCTATTGATTAATTGATCTTTGTTGGTTGATGAATGGCACCAAGAAATGTGCAAAATATTGCGATGCAATCAATTATTATTTTGCACGTAAATCGAATCAAAAATAAAAGTAATTTGAAATAGTTCAAGATGCTTATTTTAAATAACAGACTAAAGTGGTAATTTTTATACGATAGATGGAGGAGATGAAAGTCCAGAGTTGATAGTTCCGTTAGAGTACGGCAGTGTGAAAATTGCATATAGAAAGTAGATAGCGAGCTAGGACAACTTATAAGGAACGTACACATCGGTTTTTTCATCTCTCTTTACCAAACTCCCCCTTTGGAGAGGGATGGTGAGGGGTGTCCCCCCCCCCCCTGCCACCACTGGCAAAAAGAGATGAAAACCGACCGCTCAAGTACCAACGATGTGTTTGAAACAGTTCTACCGATTTTTTACCGCACTTCAGTTGTTATTTGAAGGAAGGTATCCAGTCGTAGTTTTGGAAATTGCAACTATTGTTTACCCCTACACTCAAAAAATTCACCCCTCACCATCCCTCTCCAAAGGGGGAGTTTGGTAAAGAGAGATGAAAAAACCGATTTGTACCTTCCTTAAAAGTTGTCCTAGCTCGCTATCTACTTTCTATATGCAATTTTCACACTGCCGTACTGTAACGGAACTATCAACTCTAGACTTTCATCTCCTCCATCTATCGTATAAAAATTACCACTTTAGTCTGTTATTTGAAATTAGCATCTTCAACTATGTAAATCGTTGACTTCACGAAGAAGTAATACTAAACATATAGTCAAAGTAATTTGAAATGCTAGCTTCTAGCAAGGGGTGCAAGATAATTTAGGAACAAATCCCTGCTGCCGAATTGTATTTTGTTTTCTCCGCCTATCTCCCCCTCTGTGTATTTCTATTGGAGACCGCATGAATCGAGGATGCGACATACCGAGCTGCGGTCCAATGCAAGAAAATTGAGAAAGAAAAATGTGAAGTTTGTTAGTGAGTGGAATTAATCATGTCAAAAAAAAAAAAGGTTTCCGAGAGGGGAGGGGACTCGAACCACGAACGTTGCGGTTTTCAAACCTATGCTGTCTCCACTGCTCTCTCCATGCTTCGGGATATAGATAGGCTAAAAGCAAGCAAGGAGCGCTCATTTCCTCTCATGCTCGACTTCGTATGCTTTTCTGCAGGATAGATTCGACGCAAGTGTGTGCGTCGTTCTACAATGTTATAAATAAAAAGCTTACTGGTACAGTCGAAAGCGTATAGACAGACTGACTTAATCAACTCACTTGAATTGAAAAAAGTTGAACCGGGCTCAAATTTTCAAGCCAATTGAATTCAACTGAGTTGTTCATATGACTCGCCTAATCTAAACCCAGCTTTACATCGTCTGCAAGGTATACTTCTAACATTCGCTGAGATGTTCATGAACAGAGGATGATAGGAAATGGAACTAACATTCATTGTAATAAATTTTTGGTTTGCGTGTAGCTTTAGATTGGCCCCGCCTTTAGAAAATGGGCACCAATCATGTTAGGCAGTCCGAATTACCGAAGTAATAATCATGTACCCATCATTTCAAACTGTACATTGGACTATTTTTGACCTTTGATTATCTTAAATAAATTAA